GGGAATGACAATATTCCATTTGGATAGGAGAAGAGCACTCAGTGGTAAAACCAGAGGGGGTGCATCTACATTAATAACAGCTGGTACATTAATGCCAAGGTGGTCTCATCTCATGGCTTTCCAGACATCGAGTTTTTAACCATTAAATGCAGACCCTTCTATATGCCTAGGGAATTTAGCATCATCATCATCATCATCATCACAGCTGTTTATATCCCTCCTAGTGCCAACATTAAGGAGGCTCAGAGTGTGCTCTACAGCTCCATCAGTGACTTGCACATTCAGAGGGTGTTTTCATTGTTGCTGGAGACTTCAATCAGGCCAATGAAGACAGTTCTCCCTCATTTCCATTAGGATGTGAACTTTGCAACTAGAGGCTCAAATACACTGGATAGAGCCTACACAAATATTAAGGCAGCATTCAAGGCAGCACCATGCCTCCCCATTGGCTCATCTGACCATCTTTCTGTAATGTTAATTCCTGCATATAAGCCCCTGCTCATCAGAGGAAAACCCATTGAGAAGCTGGTAACCGTCTGGCCTGCAGGATCCGTGTCAGCATTATAGGACTGTTTTAAATGCACAGACTGGGATGTATTCAGGGAAGCTGTAACTGCAAACAATCACACCAGTGTTGAGGAATATGCCAAATCAGTGTCTGCATACATCCTGAAGTATATGGAGGACGTTTCTAAGCCCAAGCTCATCACCACAAGGGCAAATCAGAAACCCTGGATGACAAAAGGCTGTTTCCACCACACTGCACCTGAGCCTGAATCATCTGGAGGAGGAGAATGGTCATGTGCGAATGCTGTTTCTGGACTTCAGCTCAGCATTCAACACAATCATCCCCCAGCACCTGCTGAGCAAACTAGCTCCCCTTGGTCTCAACATCCCCCTCTGTAACTGGCTGCTGGATTTCCTCACAGACGGTCAGGGTTGGTAAAAATGCTTCAAGGGTCATCTCCCTCAACCTTGGCTCCCCCCAGCACTGCATACTGAGCCCACTGCTCTTCACCCTGATGACCCATGACTGCCAAGCCAGGTTCAGTACGAACCACATCCCTAGGTTGATGGGTGCCCCTCCACCCCTCGTCCCCACCAACTTGTAACACAAAGTTACACC